TCGTCGTCGTCGTCGTCGTCGTCGCGTCTGTCGTCGTCGTCGTCGTCGTAGTAGTAGTAGTAGTAGTAGTAGTAGTAGTAGTAGGAGTAGGAGTAGTAGTAGTAGTAGTAGACGGCGTAGGAGTAGGAGTAGGAGTAGGAGACGCAGTCGGAGTAGGAATAGGAATAGGAGTAGTAGGAGTAGTCGCAGTAGTAGTAGTAATAGTTGTTGTTGTTGTTGTTGTAGTTGTAGTTTTTGTAGTAGTAGTAGTAGTAGTAGTAGTAGTAGTAGTAGTAGTAGTAGTAGTAGTAGTAGTAGTAGTAGTAGTAGTAGTAGTAGTAGTAGTAATAGTCGTCGTCGTAGTCGTCGTCGTCGTAGTCGTCGTCGTCGTCGTAGTCGTCGTCGTCGTAGCAGTCGTAGTAATAGTAGTAGTAGTAGTAGTAGGAGTAGTAGTAGTAGTAGTAGTAGTAGTAGTCGTAGTCGTAGTCGTAGTCGTAGTCGTAGTCGTAGTCGTAGTCGTAGTCGTAGTCGTAGTCGTAGTCGTAGTCGTAGTCGTAGTCGTAGTCGTAGTCGCAGTCGCAGTCGTAGTCGTGGTCGTAGTCGTAGTCGTAGCAGCGGAGCAGCGGAGCAGTACCAGTGGCAATGGCAATGGTAGCAGAAGCGATTTGATGTGCCAGCCTGCAGTTTTCACGTGTGTTCGCATTCTCGCGTTTTCGATCTTCCGTCGGCTCAAGATGGCCTGTAAGGTTTTCAAGATGACCCCACGACCCCCACGACTGGCTCAACCCGGCCCTGGAGGGACTAATTCGGGCTTGAAGTTGGCCCAAGCTGGCCAGAGACGGCCGAAGATGACCCCTGGACGGCGCAGTACGGCCTCGCGACGACTCCAAGAAATCCCCAGATGGCCGCGAGGGCCCCAAAAAAAACCCAAGCACGGCTCCGAGAAGGCCGGAGAACGCTCCAAGGAAGCCTTAGGATTGGCCCACAGGAGCCCAGGACAGCCAAAAGACAGCCAACATCAGGTCCATTAGTGTTCGCCGAAAAGTGAAGGCGAAAGGTGTCACATGTGACAGCTCTCCTCTGCCTCCTCCTCCTTCTTCTCCTTTTCTTCCACCTCGTCCTTTCTCTTCTCCTCCTTCTCCTCCTCCTCATCCTCCTGATCATCGCCACCATCATCAGCAGCATCATCATCATCCTGATCATCACCACCATCACCATCCTTAATACCATCATCATGGTCATCAGAATCGTCATCATCACCACCATCATCAACACCACAACCATCACCAGCAGCAGTATCATCAACATCACCACCACCATCATCATGAACAGCATCATCTTATCCATCCGCATCCTCATCTCCAGCCTCATCCTCACCATCTGCGATCATCCCCACCATTATCATCATTGTCATCATCGTTGTTAGCACCAGTCGCATCATCAACATCATCACCATTACCATCATCATCACCACCAGTCAAACCATCTCCACCACAACCACTATCATCATCACCATCATCACCATCAGCATTATCATGCTGATCGACATTAGCATCATCATTATCAGTATCATCATCTTACCGAGCCACAAGAAATTCTAGAGAGGCCGCAAGAAGCTCCCCAGAGGCCCCAATTAACTCTTCGGGTGCCCCCAGAAACTTTATAGAGGCCGCAAGAAGCTCCCCAGAGGCCCGAATACATTCTTCAGCCCCTTCAGGAATCTCTTCAGCCTCCCGAGAAGATCTTGAGCCCCCCCAAGGAGATCTTCAGATGCTTTGAGAGGCTCGTCGTGCGTTGTTTCTCAGCAGTGCAGGGGGGATTATGGATCTCTGCCTGCAGGCCAGCCCCCCAAGGAAGATCTTCAGACGCCCTCAGCGGCTCGTGGTACGTTATTTATCGGCTGTGAGGGGGGGGGGGTCTGGGCCTTTCGTAGGCGAAACCTCCCCCTGCCGTACTCGAGGACTCATCAGGTCCAGACCGCCCCGGGCCATACAAGCACCTTCCGCAGGGCTCCCCCTCCCCCTCCAGCCTTTCTGTCCGCAGGGCGGGCCGGGGAGGGGAGGGGGAGACGCCGGCACCCCCGGGGGGGGGCGGTGTTCTGGCCGACCCCTCCCCCCCGAGGAGGAGGAGGAGTTGTATTTCTTGGGGGCTGGCGACGACGACTACGAAGACGACGAAGACGACTGCAGCGTCTCACACACGCCGAAGGGTTGGCGGATCTCGGCTCCGAAGACGACGGCACAGCTTCCCCGTATGACCCGAGGCCAGCCCTCGAGAGGCGCCGCAGGGGCCCAGGCAGCTCCAATACGACCCACAGAGGGCACCGAGGCGGCCCAAGAGAGCAGGGCCGCGAGCAGAGCGCGCCGAGACGGCCCAAAAGATGCCCCAAACGCCTCGGGCAGCACCGCCAAACTCTGCGGGAGCCCGCCGCAGCTGCTTGGCTCGAGGCCCCTGCTTCCGACGGCCGTGACGTTTTCACAGCAGGGACCCCCGGAGTTGCCGACCACTTCCCAGGGACCGCCTTCTCCTCAGACAGGGAACACCCCTGCAGGAGGAGTGTTCCAAGATCGGCCAAAATCGGCCTGTAGGGGGACAGGCCCGACCTAATGCCAGTGGAGCCCTCGATCGCGTGGGTCCTTGAGGACCGCCAGGTCCTCGCGAGCAGGTCCTTTTTACCGAGGTCTGCGCTCGCGTCCTCACGGAACAGCCTGGGCGCTCTATGGGCCCGGCATGTCTGTTGTGATTGTTCGGAGCTGTTCCGGACAGTCTTTGTACTTTGTCTTCCTCCTCCTCCTCCCCCCCCCTCCTCCTCATCTTCTCCTTTTTCTTCCTCTCCTTCCTCCTCCTCCTCCTCCTCCTCCTCCTCCTCCTCCCCCTCCTCCCCCTCCTGTCCTTTGTCCTCCTCCTCCTCCGCCTCCTTTGTCTCCTCCTCCTCCTCCTTCCCCTCCTCCTCCCCCTCCTCCTCCTCCTCCTCCTCCTCTTCCTTTTGCAAGAGCTAGCGGGACACCCCCAGAGTTGCCGCCCTTTTCCCCGCCGATCTCGGGGGCATCGTAGCCGGGGTCAAGGCAGACGGGGATCAGCCAGAGTTTTGCATCTTCCAGGGTCCAGCACAGCCAGGTTTGCATTGACCTGGACTAGCGCGCAGGATCCTGCAGGATCTTTCAGGATCTTGCAAAGCCCGAGTGGCCCAGGTTCGGGTTGACCCGGGTCAGCGCGTCCGAGAGTTTTGTTCGAAGATCCCAGGGCCCGGCAAGGGCCCCCTCGAGGCCGACACGGAGGCCCCTAGAAACCACCCGTTTCGATTCTTCTCGCGGCGCGAGGAGGTTCGGGGAGGTTTTGGCTCAAGCCCATGATCAGAGCCCCGAATCATCAGGGGTAACTCGGGTCAGGGCTAACTCGGGTTCGTTTTGTCGGGACTCCGAACCCGAGTTACCCCGGACCCGAGTTACCCCGGATAATTCGGGCGTCCAGAGCCCCGAATCATCAGGGGTAACTCGGGTCAGGGCTAACTCGGGTTGGTTTTGTCGAGATTCCGAACCCGAGTTACCCCGGACCCGAGTTACCCCGGATAACTCGGGCGCCCAACATGAAGCACGCGTCGGGGGTGGGTGCCACACGCCAACGCTCGCGGCGCCCACGGCGGGGTCGGAGCGAGGGCGGCGGCCTGTGGCGAAGGCAGGGCGGGGGGCTTCTTAGAACGCAGGGTCCCTCTTAAAAGGGCCGGGCGGCTTCTGAGATCGGGGGAAAACAAACCTACCTCGCTTTTGACCACCCTCGCTTCCAAGAGATACCAAACACTGCCAAATTGCGGCCTGTACTGGTCAGGACGCTTGACGAGGAGGCGCGTGGTATGGCTTGGTTTTGCCTGGAAGCGAAAGCGGGGGAGGTAGTTCACGCTCTGATGAGAAGCTCCTTCGAGGCCAGGCCCCCCCCCCCAGGAATCGGGGAAACGTAAAGCTCGAGTGCGCCGGAACTCGTGTTCACCGAACGGTTTTGACGAGCGCGTCCGGGATTTGAACGGTCCGGTTTTCGCTGTATGCTTGCAGCGAGAGCTCGCGTCAGATTGCGGACCAGGTCTCGTCGTTGACCCCGTCAGGCCAACCCGAGTCCCCGTCCCCCGAACCCGAGTCTTACAGGACCCCGAGAAGGACCAGGCCCCTCCAAGAAGGCCCCTGACATCTAGGAGCCTCCCCCCCCCCGCCTCCACAGAGGGCCGCCCCCCTCGTGCTGCCCCCTCGGGCGCGCCGCCCACGAGGTCGCCCCAGCCTCGGCTCGCCCCGGCCTCGCCCACGCGCCGCGGGGCCGATGGCGGCCGCGCCCGCGGCCCAGATGGAGAAGCCGAAGCACCCGCCGCCCGCCGCGAGCGGCCCGCGACTGCGCGCGGCCGGAGGAGCGGCGCCTGGCGCGGCCCTGTCATGGCTGCCGCCTCGCAGGCCGCCAGAGTACTGTCGGACCGAGGGGTAAGGTCGAGGTCGGCTCGGGGAGGGCCTCCTGGTGCCTTTCGTGCCTGTTGGATGCTCATGAGCATCCCGGGGAGAGCACCCTCGGATGCTCTGCTGGACTTGGCCGACGGAGGGTCTCGTGTCCTTGGCAGATGTTCTTCTGGCCTAGGTCCGACTGTAGATAGGGCCGGCAGGAGGGCACGAACGTGTTCTCGATTCACGACCTCCCTCATTCAGGAGGGAAAGAAGCACACAGACACAATAAATCCTCGATTCCCCAGAAAATATGGGAAAATATGGGAAGTGGGGGGGAGGACAGAAACCCAGAAAATATGGGAAAATATGGGGAGTAGTTTTATTTGTGTGTATTCATTTGTGTGTCCTTGGGCCCTGTCACTCATCCTCACTCTCACCCTCCTCGTCCTCCTCTTCTTTGAGCAAGCCAACGCAGTACAGTGGGAACCCATGCCAAGAGACACCCTGCTTGTCGCCAGGGTTCCCTGGGTTTCTTGGGTTTCGATGGTCTTGCGATGGACAGCGTGACGCTCCCACACCAAAAACCAATGGACGCCCTGGGGTCTCAGGGTTGGGTTTCTTAGAGGAGTTCTCTTGTGTTCGATCGGGCGCGTACTTCTGCAGGCGGGGTTTGGGAGAAAACTAGAACAACAGATCTAAACAACATTCAATCAAACATCACATATAGTAAAAAACATCACGAACCATCGTCGCCGGACTTCTTTTATTATTCTTGAACAGTCCTTCTGTAGAGGGACACGCCCGACGTAACACCTGGTGCGCGAGCCACGCCGTCTTCACGGCGGAGCCCTGGGGCCAGAGGTGCGGGCAATGCCTCAATGCACAATTCTGCACCCAATCGTAGAGTTTAGGCGGGCGTGCCTCTCTACAGGAGGCATATCCAAATCCAAGAAGCTCAACCAATTTGTTTTGACTATGTTTGATTATGCTTGCGTATTTCTATTCGCCTTCCAAAACCCGCTTGTAGGAGGATGTGCCCGACTTAATTGTAGAGGCATTGTCGAACGCTCTTTCGAAAACGCTTGAATACTAAGGCTTGCGGCAAGGAGGTGTGCAACCGAAGGCTCGACCTACGCCCTTCCACGGTTACCCGAAGCGTCGCAATTTCAATATGGTCTCCGCATATGCGAATCTATCTGTTTCAATTGTGCTTGATAATTGTTGGATGCGTGCGATGCGGCCTTGTACATGTTGAGGTACACTTTGCACGCTGATAGCATGTGTAATGATTCGTGCTACTTCTTGCGACGAGCAAGCTTCCAAAGCATAGACTATGTTGTGATTGTGCAAGCTGACTTCGAAGATTTCGAATAACTTGCAGCTAGGAACGAATCCTTCGAATTCACACGCAGCTCGATCGGCAAGACGGACTGAACAACATGCCATATGCATTCACGACAAAATATTGCGTTCAACGCCCTCAGATCGTCAACGTGCAGCAACGCATTTAGCATAACGTCAAACGTTAGGCAAACCATACCCCGACAGAGCACACTGGCCCAATACGTTCGGTTTCACGTGCAAAGGCCGATTTCGGGCATTCATCATCACTGCCGTCATAATTTCTGACATGGAGTTGCCGACGGGAAGGCCGTGGAGCAGTTCCAAGATGATTGCTCCCTAGCTCGTAGCACTTGTTACCCATTTCGAAGGTCGCGACTGACTTCAAGTCCTCGCTCGGATGTGGATACTACGCATTCGGTCTTGGGATTGTTCGGAAATCTACCTACGTGGTGTCTACCACGCTTTTCTCGTGACATTGAGACTGTTCAGTGACTCGTTTGGAGTGAGATGCTGGCGAGCAGTTGTTCACGGTCTCGTAACGTTTAGGTCGCTATAGCATTTGGGAAGAACGAGTCGATGTCGAGTTGGCCTCTATCGATGAATGGCTTTGGTCGGCAATCTTTGCAACGAGCACTTCAGCCGTACACTGCAGGAGGTCACGCGCAGACCAAATCGTCTATGTTGTGGTAGCCTCCGATCGGAGGTATGTCCGTAAGCCTTTGGCCACTACCTGGCCCACGCGTTGGGCGGAACATTAGGGCCGTGCACATATTTCTCGGGGATCTAGGGGGTCTCTAGTGCGCTCAAACCGTCGTGCATCACAACACTTCGTCTCGTTGTTTCATAAACATACCCAACAGATGCTGGCGCCCATCATCGAAGCCTCTGATTCCTCCAGCGGGATGGGGTGCACCAACAATCTGACGCCCACACTTCTCTACAGCACCAGTCTGCGTGCGACACGGGAATCGCGTTCCACTTGGAGTTCCGTAAGGAACAGTATGCGAGCTCAACGGCGTTTCCAGCCTTGGGCTTGACTAAGCGGGTCTTCAGAGCCACACCGCAATCCTCGTGCCGACCAACGTGAAAAGCATGGGACGGAGATTGCTACGTGACAGATTCCGAAAAAAAAGTTCTCCCCTGGAGTTCTGCTTTGGCAATCCAAACAAATATCCTGCATTCAAGCTGATGTATGGTAAAAACATGTGTCTGTTTTGCTGAAGTATGTCGACCATCATCCAATCTGGCATTATACAAAACAGCGGATCGCATGGGTATCGACGTATCCCAGTTCAGAGGCACACAACGCAAAGCTTCGCTCCTCCGCGCTGCAAGCACGTCTGGATTCAATCCAAGAAGTGTGTCGACGTCGAATCGCCGTGCCTCTTGGACCTGATTGGTCTGGATCGTGCTGAAGGTGCTGTGCTTGCAATGGTCTACACGCGTGTGCTCGAACATGAAGCGTGCCCTGCTCGCAGAAATTATCCGTGTTGGCGGGCGAACGCATCGGCGTAAGAGATTCCGGACGTCCCAATGTTTCGGGGAGTGCCAAAGGTACCTTTGGCCTAAGGTGCCGCAGTTTTTTTGCTCAATTTGGAAGCCCCTGGGGCCCTCTGGGCTTCATGAGGGGTGCTCTGGAGGCCGTGGGGGCCTCCCTGGAAATCCTGGGGGCACCTTGGGCCAGGGGCACTTCTAGCAACACCTCAGTGTTCAGTTGCCCCTTCACCTTCGTCGACCTGAAGTGAACGGTTATATGCACATGCTCCGGGTAGCCCTGAGCCACCACAAGACCCTCGGGTCGCTTGCTGCCCTTGCACGCCTGCCAGCAGAGATCTCGAGCGTCTGCCCATAGTTCAAGTATTTGTTGTCCGAAGAGGGGAAGCCCTGCCAACAGGTAAGCGCTAGCGTGCCTCCCAGTGAACCGACATGATGTCTGGCTGGCAAAAACATGTGTCGATAGAGATCTACGGGTGCACCAACGCCAGAACGTACGCAAACACGGTACAGCCATTCGAATCGTGATGTTTGCCATAGTTTCCGCATTTTGTCGTCGCATTTGGACGCTGGGAGTTGCCACCGGGCAGCGAAAGCCTGAATGAGGAACGTCACGTTGGCCGCTACCATGTGTTGAAACCCGCTCTGCTGTCCTCAGATATTTTGTGGGGGCGTTTTCGCGCGACATGCCCATCGTTGCCTGTGGAAGTCCCTGCTCTCGTCGGACGCCTTTTGGTCGGAGTCCCAATTGATTCATCATCGCACTCCATCTATCAGTTCTCCCTGGACAGCTAGCTGTCGCCATTTCCGATGCCTGAAGTGGCAGTATGGGGCGATGTGTTTGACCATGTCTGAACATTGTTTCTAATGTTAGTTTTTTGTCCAACATCCGCCCGTGGGGGGACACGCCCGACCTAAGGGTCATCTTGCGACGGAAAGGGAAAGCTAACAAAGACAAAACTCATAACAATTTACGCAACCGAAACATGCGTGGGGCACGGGCGTCCGAGCGATGCCAAGGTATGGAAGATCGCCGAAAGTTGTTGTTTCAGGCCCTCTTTCGTGCACTGCAGCTGTGCCCGCATCGGGAAGGGTTAGGCTCGCAGGGGCGGTGGCCAGAGCACGGCGGGCTAATTAGCGTCGTGCCCACTCATCGGCGAGTTCTGGCGCGGGCGTTCAGAGTTGAGCGCCGACGGTGGCCCAGAATCGGCCAACCTGGAATGATTTGTCGATCGACAGACAGCCGATCGGTCAAGGTTGAGGGACCCCATGCGCTGTCAGAACCCAGCGCCAGGGTCGTCATGGTACGAACCTGCCTTACCCGTTGGTGAAGCCCCCCCCCCCGTCAGGAGGGCGCTGAGGAGGACGTGGCCTTCCAGAGCCTGCGCACCTCGTCGTCGGCGCCGGCGCTCCTGCCCACGCGGGCGGGACCGGAGGCGCCAAGCGTTAAGTCGGGCATGACCTTCTACAGGGGGAGTATTCAAGAATATTCAAGGCATAGTTCAGAGACGATGTTTCGCGTTGTGGCCATTTTGAATATGTTGTGACTCTTTGATCTTCCTTTCAAAATCCGCCTGTAGGAGGACATGTCCCCTTGGAGGAAGGCCAGTCGAGACACCGCCGAAGGGTTGGCGGATCTCGGCTCCGAAGACGACGGCACAGCTTCCCCGTATGACCCGAGGCCAGCCCTCGAGAGGCGCCGCAGGGGCCCAGGCAGCTCCAATACGACCCACAGAGGGCACCGAGGCGGCCCAAGAGAGCAGGGCCGCGAGCAGAGCGCGCCGAGACGGCCCAAAAGATGCCCCAAACGCCTCGGGCAGCACCGCCAAACTCTGCGGGAGCCCGCCGCAGCTGCTTGGCTCGAGGCCCCTGCTTCCGACGGCCGTGACGTTTTCACAGCAGGGACCCCCGGAGTTGCCGACCACTTCCCAGGGACCGCCTTCTCCTCAGACAGGGAACACCCCTGCAGGAGGAGTGTTCCAAGATCGGCCAAAATCGGCCTGTAGGGGGACAGGCCCGACCTAATGCCAGTGGAGCCCTCGATCGCGTGGGTCCTTGAGGACCGCCAGGTCCTCGCGAGCAGGTCCTTTTTACCGAGGTCTGCGCTCGCGTCCTCACGGAACAGCCTGGGCGCTCTATGGGCCCGGCATGTCTGTTGTGATTGTTCGGAGCTGTTCCGGACAGTCTTTGTACTTTGTCTTCCTCCTCCTCCTCCCCCCCCCTCCTCCTCATCTTCTCCTTTTTCTTCCTCTCCTTCCTCCTCCTCCTCCTCCTCCTCCTCCTCCTCCTCCCCCTCCTCCCCCTCCTGTCCTTTGTCCTCCTCCTCCTCCGCCTCCTTTGTCTCCTCCTCCTCCTCCTTCCCCTCCTCCTCCCCCTCCTCCTCCTCCTCCTCCTCCTCTTCCTTTTGCAAGAGCTAGCGGGACACCCCCAGAGTTGCCGCCCTTTTCCCCGCCGATCTCGGGGGCCAGTCGAGACACCGCCGGCACTCCCTGGCCCTCTGGGGTCCTTTCTTGCGGGGGGGGCCTCCCGGAGGGTCCTCGTCGCCACTCTGCTGCGCCTCGGAAAACGAGCCAGGATGCATCCTACATCCCCCCCGAAGTCGAACGCACGCTTGTCCCGCGACGTGGCGGCGCCCCAGGACCTCAGAGTCTCAACGTTCGCGGCGAAGTTTTGGCGACTGCAAAGGCAAACATCAGACCCCGTGGGCCGCGTTTCGCGCGTCGACCACCATTCAAAACTTGCGCTTGACTTCGAGGAAGTTTGCAGGACGAGGGCAAATCCGTTCCAGAGCGTTCAGGAACGCTCTCAGAGCGTCACGGAACGCTCGGAGATGGTCGCGGCGCCCGAGACGTCCTCCAGAGCCGTCGGACCTCAGAGATTCTCGATTTACCGGAACCCGATGTTACCCTCGTCCTGCATCTTTCGGGGCCCCCCAAACGGGGTGGTGACCACACCGTGTGGTGAGTCGGTGGGGATTCGGGGTCACCGCACGGTCTTGGGACTCGGGTCGTTCTCCGAGGATGTCTCGGGCGACGGGGGCCTCCGAGGTCCCCAAACCCGTGCGGTGACGGACCGTGCGGTGAGGCCTTGGGGGATGTCGAGGTCACCGCACGGTCTCTCACCGCACCGCCTCGGGACTCCAGAATCCCCCTCGAAGTCAAACGCGAGTCTTCCCCGGAGAGGGGGGAAGGAGAAGGAGGGGGGAGGAGGAGGAAGAGACAGGAGGAGGAGGAGGAGGAGGAGGAGGAGGAGGAAGAGACAGGAGGAGGAGGAGGAGGAGGAGGAGGAGGAGATGAGATTCTCGTCCTGCATCCCTCCCCCATCAAAATCTAGCGCAAGTGTTTCCCGCGGCGCGGCGGCGCCCCGGGGGCCGAGGCGAGCGGGTGGCGTTGAGCTTCCTCCTCCTCCTCCTCCTCCTCCTCCTCCTCCCCTCCCCTCCCCTCCCCTCCCTGGGTTCTCTTCTTGGGGGTATCTCCCGGAGGCTCCTCGTCGCCACTGGCTGGGTGCGCCTCCAGAGTGCGGGCGGGTCGGGCCCGTCCCCCTGCATGGGATTTTGGACGAAGCATCGAAAATCATGAAAACATAGCTCTTAAACACATAGTAACATAGGCAGAACAGGAAATGGCAAACATAACAATCAAACATGAAAGAACATTGAAAGAAAATGCTAACCACATAATAACAAATACTCCCCAGACTATTGTTTCATGTTTTGAAGACTCCTCCTGTAGAGGGACACGCCCGACTTGAGAGTGCTGGCCGGGCTGTATCTCAGGAGGGGTCCAGCGCTATCGAATTTGAGCGGATGTGGGCGGGTCGGTAGAGCTCAGCATCGCTTTACCCGTAAATCGGGCTTGTCAACAAAAATAGTCTGGGGACGATTTGTTTGACTATTTCTGCATAGTTTCTGGGTCTGTGTGGGGTACTTTTCATTTTTCGTCCATAATCCGCCTGTTGGGGGGAATGGCCCGACTTAACCTTACCGATCCCCAGCCCAGCTGGGCCATGGTATCTCATTCGGTAGCAAATCCTGGGAGCTTGATCTCTAGCGTCGATTAGCGTCGATTCGCCTCGCTTCGCGTCGATTGAGCGTCGGCCAGCGTCGATTCGCAGGAGCCGACAGGATGGTACGGAAGGCTCCCATGAGCTGTCGCCGAAGTATCTCAATCCCACCATCCCCCCCCTGTCGGGGATGGGCCCCGCGAAACCCGGAGGGAACAGCACACACAAATGAACAAGTATACATGAAAATACATTTGTATACACTTTTTTGGTCGGCGGGTCGGGAGCGGGCCCCTTCCGGTTAAGAGCTAGGCGGGGCGCGCGAAGCCCTGATTGGGGAGATTGGGCGCGGGTGGGCGGGGCCTCAGGCGGCCGGAGGGTGCAGAGTGCAGGCGGTGCCGAAGATCTTGCACAGGACAAGGTACGCCATGGACAGGAGCCGGGGGCGAAGTCCCGCTGCACACATTTGTATACACACATACCCATTTGGGAGGGATAGATCGGCCTTTGTGGCCAAGGCCGTGCTCATGGGGATGGGGATCGATTCAACGATGCTCAAGAGCCGCCGTTGTCTCAACTGGCCCTCCGAAAGGTGCCGATCGGCGAGCCGCCATCGTCGATCGGCGCCGAGCGGCGCACCACCGTGGTGTTTCGCAACGTGCCCTAGCCGCTCACGCGGGACATCCTCGTAGAGTTGTTGAAATCGCAGGGCTTCCGAGGTCCAGGCCTCCAAAATGGGGCCAGAGCAGGATGTCGCAATGAATCATAATCAGAAGGAAAAGAAGAAGAAGAAGAACAACAACAACAATGCCCGGTATAGACGGGGCCAATGCAATGGGGGGTAGCCAGAGCACCAGATCTTCCAGGATCTTGCAAAGCCAGGGCTTCATTGGCCCGGGTTAGCGCGCAGGATGCTGCAGGTTTTGTTACAGGTTTTTGCAAAGCTTAACGGGCCCAGGTTGGCATCTCCCAGGCAAGTAAACGTCCGAATGAGAAGAAGACACCGAAGACGAATAACAACAAACATACAGCATCTTCAAAGATCCACGCGGATTTTTTGGGCCGGCGCTGGGACACTCATTCTGCTTGCCGCGCGGAGCGCACCAGGTGCGGCGCCGAAGGCGCCGCCAAGGGAGTCCAGTGCCGATCCAAGAAGCTAGCGCGGACCTACTGAAGCGCATGCTTATGGTGTTGATTGGTTCATGGAGTCGGAGGATCGCGCTGCATCGCCGATGCATCAGCGATACGGTTCGATCTTGATGCATCAGCATACGCCGATGCATCCACAACGTTGCGCGGTCCTCCGAACCCGTCTGCTCCAGTCTCGCTCGGCTCGGGAGGCCCCCGCCAGGGCAGTTCGACTTGATGTACCTACCCATGGACTTCAAGACGAACCAGGCGCGCTCTTCATTGCTGAGCTTGCTCATCGAGCGACTATTGGTTATATGCGGTCAGGAAGCCACTGATCTTTGTCGTTTGACGCGTTTGTCAACACGGTGATCAAGGGCAAGGGGGGATAAACCCTTTCGGGCCCCTATCGGCGATCAATGGGCGATTGGGGATCGGTGCATCCACCCTGAGCCCATCCCCCCCGTAATTAACGTTACCTACCAGGTGAGCGCTGAGGTCGCCATCCGCCTCTTCGGCATGTTCGAGAGCTTTCAGGCGTGGCCCAAGAGGAGCCCGAAGGTGTGCAGCGTGTGCTGGATCAACCGGCAGGGCCTCGAGAGCAACCTCCATGTTTCCCGCAGACTCTCGGTCATGCAGGCGAAGTTCCCCGATACCTGGAAGCTGGCCGCCTTCTCGCAGGTCGAAGAACAGACAGGGGCATAGACAATTTGTTGGAGCTTTGCGCTGATTTCTTGGATCGGCGCTGGCCCTGGAGAGCTTCTCCGAAGGGCTTAGGCGACCCGTCCTCCTTCACCTCCCCCTCCTCCTCCTCCTCCTCCTCCTCCTCCTCCTCCTCCTCCTCCTCCTCCTCCTCCTCCTCCTCCTCGTCCTCCTTCACCTCCCCCTCCTCCTCCTCCTCCTCCTCCTCCTCCTCTCCTCCTCTTCCTCTTTCTCCTCCTCCTCCTCCTCCTCCCGCAGTGGACGCGAGGTGCTCGCCCACCCTGTGCTCGCGGGAAAAAAACCTCCTCCTCCTCCACTCCTCCTCCTCCCTCCTTCCTTCCCTCCCTCCCTCCCCTCCCTCCCTCCTCCCTCCTCCCTCCTCCTCCTCCCAACCGCCAACTGGGTCGGACAGTTTGGCCGAGCGGCCGCTCCATGCCCCACCCTTGACTTGATGGTTAATCCCGCACCAGAATCGAGTTGGTGGCCAGGCGATGTTACGAGCGATTGGACTGCTGGTGCTGTTGCGAGCGATTGGGTGGAATCCGATGTGGGCCTCGGGGAGCCGCTTCGAGGAGATCCTGATGCAGACCTCCTCCCTGGACGTATTCGCGCTGATCGGCACGACGTCTATCAGAAGAGAGGCTGATAACGTATGTGTTACTTGTACCGTGCATCCAGAGGAAGAGGATCTATGAGTGTGCAATTGTTCCTCGGAAATATACGAACAGAGGTTGTGGGGTCATCATCGTGCTCGGAGATAGGTGCCGTGATAACGACGTGATCAGAGCATGGCCAAGCCCACCACAGTGGGGGGAGCGATTGCGATACGTATTAAAGGACGGACGATCGATTTGTTGGTGATGGCGGTGTATTCCCCCCCAACCCAGGAAACGGGGAGATATCGCACTGTATGTGCAGATTGTTCGGGTCTTGAGAGATTGGATGAATGATGTGTTGAACGAGATACCCCATAGATGCCAGCCGATGATACTTGTTGACGCCAACGACGGTATCGGAGAAACGAGGGAGAGCGCAAGCTGGCAGCGAGCGCAGAGTGATTCGATCGGCCCCGCGGCGGCCCGTGAGGCGAGGAGGCCTGGAGCGGGAGAACAGCTACGACTCCTTGCGGGTCGGCATCAGCTGGTTGTTGCACATCGTCTCGGGTCGAGGGAATTCACGTACTTCGGTCCAAACACGTGCAGTCTTATTGGTTTCTGCCTGGTCGCACGTGGTGTGCAAGATTGTATCGAGAGATGTCATCCACTTCGTGTTAGGTAAGCAGTTGCACGCAGTTAAAGCAAAAGGACCGCGCGATCACCTTCCAGTATTTGTTGATCAGATGGGGGAAGGATTGGTATTCCAGAGAGCCGGCCCAAGTGACGGGACAAACTCATGGACGCGCTGAAGTACGGCGACAGAAAATATGAATGTTTATCGGCGGTGGTTGAGAAGTTGACGGCCACAGAGCATGAGTGGATTTATTGGATGACGTTTCCGATCCCAGACACCATGTTTGAATTCATGGGAAAAGTGATGGTTAGTTGCGGAAGTGAGCTTCCCCAGCGAGGTCCGATACCGAAGCAATGCCAAGAGGACGCGCTTCGACGCAGACAGCTTCTTGCGGAAAGGTGTAGTTTGAGAGAGTTGATGCCAGCTGGAGTTGAAGTGGATCAGGTAGAGACAGAGCTGAAGCAGTTGAGTCAGCAGTTGAAAAAGATACGACATAAACATGTTCAGAGACGACGAGAAGGCTTGGAACAGGAAATATATGAGACCTGGGAGCAGAGACAAGTGGCGGTTGCGATGAGGCTGAGTCGCGTTGTTGCCAGACGTCGCTTTGGACCGAAGAAACGAGATTCGAGATTGTTCAGATGATCGTCTCCTACCGCAGCACCGCGGCATAATCGCTACATCACTGGGGGCAGGCAGGGCGCGACGGCGGAGTGGGCGCTACGGAGATCGATTGGGGCGCATGGCAACGGCAGCAACTCAACACCTCGAGGTCGCCCTTGACAGAAGCCCATGCGCGCGCTGCGGAGGAAGACTACAAGAGGCTTGAATTCCGATCCCGGCGGGCACCGCGACGACGGGCAGTACCGGCAGGAACGACGGTAGCCAAGATTTGGCAGTTATGTCTACATCCTCTGCGACAGATTTCCGATCTTAACCGACGTGGTCTTGGATGTCAGTCCGAACTACCTGTGATGATTTTTGTTTCGAGATTTCCGGGTGGCTGGGATCAGAAACATCCGACGCAATGAACGTGTGCCCGCGCATTGGCAGAGGAGTTCGGGCTGCGCGCTGAGGAAGCCAAATAAACATGGACCCGCAGGGAAGCGAGTGGTGCCAATTGCCGTGTCTTGGTAAGATTATGTTTGCGGATTTTCTGCAGGTGCATCTTGGCCCATTCGACCGCGGTTCCGTGCGGGCGAGGAGACGGGGGGGGGCGCGATCTCGGGGGTCCAGGTGGTTGCGTGGCGGACGCCACAAAGTGGATGTTCTGCACTGCGAGCTTGACAGACTCATCCAGCGCGTTTGCTCGCGGGGATTTTTTTTTTTGGGGGGGGGGGGCCCACGGCGCAGCAGCATTCGAGAGAGGGAGAATCGTAGATTAGTGATTCAGAGATTCCGAGAGGCAGCTATCAGCTTCCCGAGCGCGGATCGAGGCTTTCTGATCAAGACGGGAGAAGGAGGATTGATGGGCGACCCGTCGGCGGTTCGATTGGTTGCAAGGCGCACTTCGGCGCCCCGTCCTCTCCTGGCTAAGTCAGATCGAACCTGCGCCCATGAACTCTCCCGAGCGCAGGTGGAAGAATACCTCGCGGGCCTCCCCTTGTTTTTTTTTTGGGGGTTCAGGCGACCCGCGGAAGCCCCACGCGGCGCCACCAGGGTGCCATTTAAAGGATTTAATTCAGCAGCTAGCCGTTGCAGGTCTCATATTTAATTTGGAGCTGTGCCCAAAAGGTCTCAATGCAGGAGCTCCCGGCCAGGATCGAAGGCGCAGATGCTGCTCGGTGTAGGAGATCATGTTTCCTGGAAGCTTAGGAGGCAGTGTCAAACAAGAAACGCGGCATTTGGGCCCCAGGGTGAGCCTGGGTAGAAGGGCGGGGGTTGCCATTCAATATCGCCTGAATTCAGCCTCGCGTGCTTCCTGGAGTCTCGGAGGTATTTGGCAACTATCGCTCCCCTGGTAATTCAAAAGATGCCTGCTCATTAGTCTGCCTCAAAATGCCTTCCTTCGCGGACTGGGGCCCATGCTGATGACGAGATCGCAGCACAAACAGCTCGATAATAAGCTAGGGTATTTCTGCAGGGCGGTCTCAAACTGCAAGGCGCGCGACAGGGAGGGCGATGAGATCAGAGGCTGGGGGGCGGAGGAGCTCTTAGACTACCGGGGGCGCGTGCCGTCCGATATTGAGACGCTCGCGCGCAGGCCTCGGCGGCGCCGAGGGCGGGCAAAACAAACCTGACCAGCATAGTCAAGAACATGGGGCTCTCATTTGGCAATTGGTGCGTCAGACATTAAGTTTTATCCGGCGGACATCTTCGGGGCTCTCTCCCCCGGCCCCCCCTGGATGGCCGAGGATTTCCAGAGGGCCAGGGCGATGGTGGATGAGCCGTCTGTCTTGCCCCTGCCGTCCGCGGACCCGCCTCGCACTGTGGAGTCAGAGATTGCGCGAGAGCTCATTCGATTCGACTTCGCGGAGATCCATCGCCGGCCCATGAGGAAGAGCACCCCCCTCCTGGTTGGCAGCCCCCTTCTGCATGTTGAGAGCGAAGAACGCGGGTGGCTGGAAGGAGGGGGGGGGGGGGGGCGGAACCATGGGTCTGCAACTGGAAGGAGGAGGGCGGGGAGGCGCGCAACGCGTGCTTTGACACGGGCGCAGCTGCTGAGCCACCGTCGCGCGCGCCGTCGCGTTCGCCCTCTCGCGCATGTCTTGACGCGCTCGAACCAATGCGTCGTGTGTCGGGGGGCGCCCCAGAGCAGTTAAGATCGCGGCTGCTCGACGCCCTGCGTCTGGTATGATTCCGGGGGCGTTTCCGACGAAGGGGGGCGCTGCGTTTCGAGAGGTCGCGGAACCCGTCGCCTTGGAGTGCGCGCTGCGTAAGACGACGGCCGAAAACCCCGAGGCCTTCTGCATCCATTTGCTCGAGCATTTGCCTCGCCCAGTCCAGCCTCCTTCTGGCGCTCGTTCTCGCGATGCCCTTCGAGGCGCCGGCCTGGCTGAAGGGATCGCCCGCGTCGGGCGACGGAGAGAACAAGTCAAAGAAACTCAGGTCCGAGGTCGCAGCGGCCGCGAAGAAGGGGGGGGCGCCGCCCTCGGGGAGTTGCTGGTGATCCTCGCACGCCTCGCGCTGACGCACTCGAGGGCGCTCGCAGAGCTCGCCGTCGCAGCGTGCATGGCGCGCGAGATAGACGCGCCAGGGGGGGAAGACGGACTCCACAACGCGCTGGAGGGCGCAGGCAAAGCATGCAACGAAGAGCCCCGGGCCCTCAAACAGCAGAGAGACGACGGAGAGATAATCCAGACTACGAAAGCCGAGGGCCCCCGCGCGAGCATTTCTTTGCGGCGTTCTCGATGTGGATGGATCGCAGGCCGGGACTGGGAGGAGAAGGGGGCGATCGAAGAGCTCCACCGCAAAATCGCCCAGCCGTCGAACCCCCGGAAGCTGGCCGAACTGATCCCGTATTTCACGTGGAAGAGGAACAAAGGCCTTGCGGGCATCGCGGGCAAGGGTCGCCTCGTCGCCTGCTTCGACCGCGCGACGGCCGATGTGTGCACCTTCGAGCGGCTGCGCGCACACATCCTCGCGCAGAGGATGAAGGCGGCGAGGAAAGCAGGCTCCGCCCCGAGGGGCCGGCTCGAGCGGGGCGCCGCTTGCCTTCTCTCCGCAATGTCGCGAGGAGGAGTTCGACACTTCAGAAGCATTTTTTGTAGAAGGAAGAGGCGGGGATGGGGGGCTGCTGCTGCTGCTGCCACTGCGGGGGGGGAGAGGATGCGTGAATCTCGTTTCGGCGTCTGGTGGACGGGGCGCGGGGAATCTCCCCCCATTGTTGGCGTCGAGTTCCAGACTCCAGGAGTTAGTGAATTCGGGACGTCTGCCTGGGAATTTGCTGTTCAGATTCCAGAGCTCTGAGGGGGGGATAGCGACGGGCGGGGGCGAGAGGCGCCCACCGTCATCTTGCAGAGGAATGAGAGAGTTCGGGGTCGGGGAAGAGCCCGCGGCCCTGGTCCCTCGGAGGGCCCTGAAGTTCCCCTAGGGTGCCCTTGATGGGGGCAGTGCGGCCTCGTGCCGAGAGCGCTGGCTTGGCACAGTGCATCTGGTCTAATTCAGACCCCTTCAGAGTTCGCGAGCGGTCGGCAGCAGGCGTCCCGTTTGGCGACGGTGGTGATCTGAACTCCATGAGCTTGGTCCTGATCCTGATCCTCCTCCTCCTCCTTCTCCTCCATTTCCTCTTCCCCCTCCCCCTCCTCCATCTCCTGCTGCCCCTCCCCGTCCACCTCCTCCTCCTCCTTTTCCTCCTCGGGTCGCCTACGGCCCTGGGGGAAACCGCGCAGCTGGCCCCCCCCCCTGGCGGCGCTTCCGGCGCCGCCCCTTTGACGCGCTCCGCGCGCCAGGAGTGGGGCTCCAGCGCCGGCCCAAGAAATCAGCGCGGACCTGGAAACGTGTACGCGCCGGTCGTTGAGAGTAGGTGTTTGTGGATTCCCAGATCCCAATCTACTTCAAGCGCCTGCCTACTTCAATCATCGAGATTTTTTCTTTGCGGTTTGTTATTCTCTGGGAGGTCCTGAACCGAATTAACTTGATCCGCCTTCCTACCTCATGTGTTTACCCATTTTTTCCAGCCGACGACCGACGTGGGTACGGAAAATTTGCACAATGCCCAACAGCAGTTCCTGATCATTTTGAATCGGACTCGCTGCCCGCGCCGCCGCGGGGTGTGTCTATTTGAGACAGGAGGCGGCCTGCCCAACAGCGGCGGCTGTTGGTGTGGGGCAACATTTGTTGTTGGGTGTAGTACCCATTATCGTCCGTACCCATTTCGGGCGTCCAGAGTGCATGTTGGTGCGAGCAGTCTGTTCGTTCTCGTGCAGGGCAGCCGAGTGCCCTTCCCCAAGCCCATGGTCACCGCCCACCAAACCACCCCAACCCACCCCGAAGGCTCCAATGTGCCCTCCATTTCCGGTTGGGGGGGGTCGGGGAGCATTACAAAAAGAACATATAAAGCTGGTGCCCCCTCCAACCGGAAATTCGGGCGAAATTCGGGTCGTCGGGTTGGTTGGGGTGATTTGGTAGGTAGTCGCATGGGGAAGCTCACGCGCAACCTGAAGAATTGCCGCGGCGCTGTCGACGCGCCGCGAAATTGAGAAGGGTTCCCAACAGCACGACTTGGGTCTGCCCCGACGGCGGAGGGTGAGGAGGTGGGCGTGGGGGGTAGTTACGAGGATTGTGGGATCGGAGGGGGAAGAGCAGGTCACTCCGCCCGAGAGAGGCAAAAGCTCGCCGGCATTGAGTGAGGAGGGCCATGGCCCGTTGGCATCCCTAGTGCCAGGGTTACGTTTTTGAACGACAGGGTCTATGTCCTCTCTCGCGTCTCAGCTTCCGCCCTCCTCCTAAACCTCTCCTTCTGTTCGGGCCGAACTACCGCGAATTTGACACGCGCGAACCTGCCGACTACCCAAGAAACATAATAATCATGATGATAATGATATTGATAGTAATACTCATAATAATACTGATAATACTGATTGATAATGATAATGCTAGTAATAATAATACTATGAATTGTCTCTGACTCGTTTTCCTAAGTGCGAGTGGCCTCGGGAGTTTCAGAGCAGTGGAGCCGCGTCCGTCTCGTTCGCTGCTCCTGCTGTTGCTCTCTCCCTCTGCTCCGAAACCGCTCCTGCTCAAGCTCTATCATTCGTGGGGCCCCCAGCAGTGCATGGTGGTGCCGTGGGCCGCAGCCGGCCCTTGGGCGGCCTCCATCGCGACCGCGTGGCTCTCGCGCTGTCCCGCGTGCCCGGAGGCCCGCGTGACGTGCGGGGCCTGCCCTGTGTGCCCTCCAGCGGCGGCCGCCGCCCCCTGCCCGGGCTGCCCGAGCTGCCCGGGCTGCAGCTTGACCTGCGGGACCGGGCCAGGCTGGTGGGCGGTCCTGGCCGCCCTGGCCGCTGGCCTCGCGGGCGGAGGCAGCCTCCGCGTGATGCTGGGCTGGGCCGCCCGGGCCGCCTCGCTCTTCGTCGGGAGGACCGACCTGGCGCGGCGCGAGGGTGCGGCGCCCGTGGGCCTGCTCGTCGAGGACGACGGAGCGGGCCAGGACGGCGGCGCTCAGGGCCGCTTCCAGGCAGTGCGAGCGTAGCCTGATCGTCGGCCGTTGGCAAGATGGTGGCGGCGGCGATGCATACGCCCGACGCGGCCGAGCCTCGGGTGTGCGTGAGCTACGACGACGACGAGAACCTTCGGAGGCACCACAGGGAGCTCCTCAAGCAGCTCTGCCCTGGCGTCTGGGTGCCGACGACTCCCGATGGCGAGGTGCTGACGCTGGACCTCAGCAAGCACCTGGTGGGCCCCCTACGCCGGGCGTCCCCGTTCCCGGCCTGGGTTCGGGGGCAGGTCTACGCGTTCGGCGATCAGTCGAACGAGGACATCGAGGCGCTGCGGGGGGAGGTGCGCGGCCTCGCCCTGGCCATGGGCGTCTCTGCCCCGGCTGGGGCTGCTGGCGGCGTCGTGCCGCGCTGGATCGTCTCGGACCCAGGCTCGCCCGAGTTCTGGCGCGAGCTGGACCTCCACCTCATCGGGAACCCGGAGCGGCTGATCAGTCGCGACGCTGTGGGCATTGCGTTGCTCAGCGAGGAGGAGGGGTGGGTCTCGGTCGAGAGCGTGCGGCAGGCCGACGAGGAGGGCCGGCGCGGGGAGAAGCGCCGAGGCCCGGGGCGCGACCCGGGGATCCTCCGCTGGCGCGGCGGGCTCGCGGGGGCCAGGTGACGCTCGGGGAGGCGATCGCGAGGATGAACGCGGTCGACTTTGGCGACTGGCCGTCCTGGGGGTCGAGGGCCCTGCCCGAGCTGCTGGCCGCCATCCTTGTCACGGGGCTGACCCTCACTTCCTACTGGGGGTACTGGGTCTCGGAGTCACGTGTGTCGCGGAACGCCGTGGTGGCCCAGGAGGTGCGGCACGCGTTGAACCAGCTGCACCACGGCGCGACCTACGACCTCGTGGACCCGTCGAACCTGGCGTCTCTGGAGCTCCTGGGGCGCCGGGTGCTGCAGATCCAGCGGGCGGTGAAGAGGTGCCCGCGCCACCTGAGCTTCGAGGGCCTCGACCTGACGCTGATCAGCCCCTTGGACGAGAGCAGAGGCGTCGTGACGTCGAAGTTCGACGCGTTCGTGGCCAAGGAGCAGAAGGCACAGGGCATCATTCTGAAGGAGGAACGGATGTACCGGGTGGAGCAGGTGTCGGAGGCGAAGAAGTACGAGAGGCAGGGCGACGACAGGGAGATGGACCCCAGGGCGGACCCGAAGGGCAAGGTGAAGCCGGTGCCCAAGGCCGCCGTGAAGGATCAGGGCTGACGGCGCCATGCCGGCGCCATCATGGCTGGGCGCTCCGCCCGGCCTCACTGGGCCTGGCCCCGACTCCGCAGCCGCGAATGCGAGTCGGGCCGGGCTGCCCTCCGAGGGGGTCTCCTCCGAGGGTCGGACTTCGTCCACAGTTTTGTTTCCTCTGCCGCAGGGGGGCGAGTTCTATCGCCACCCTCATCGTGGAGAACGTGCCGCTCTGCCACGGTATCTGGCCCAGCGTGCTGCTCGTGCTGACGACCGTGATCGGAGGTCTCTCGAGGCTCTGGGGGCGCTCAACGCGCTGGCAGGCGCACGGGCTGGGGGGCGCCTCGAGCCTCGAGCGCCCGGCAAGCATCGGCCGACTACCGCCCGGGAGTCGGTCATCAAGCGAGTCCGACGTCGTGTTCGCGGCTTCGGCGACCGACCGAAAGACATGGACTGTGCTGGGGCCCTGCAGGAGCTCCTCAAGTGCAAGGATCTGTACTCGAACATGGGCGAGGCTTCTACTCGCCGCGACTATGATGCTGACAAGCTCAATGTGTTACGACGTGCGCCACATGACCGGCCTCGTCAGCTTCGAGACGTCGCCCCTCGGCACGTCACCGAGGCGCTGGACCACTTCAACTCGGACGTCGTTCGGCCCACGCCGAGCATCCCCGAGGACGAGGTCATCGTGGAGCCCTACTGGGATCCTCTCCTCAACCCGCGCGACCCTCGGAACCGACCACGCCTCGTCGACTTCCTTCGACGACTTGCTGCACGGGGCTTGGTGGATGGCCGGGCGCGTCGGAAGGCGTGCGTCAGTACCTTCTTCGTGGCCAAGAAGAACGGCGACATCCGCATGGTCGTGGACGCTCGTCAGCCCAACCAGCTGCACAAGCTCCCCCCTCGGACTGCGCTGGCATCCGGTGAGGCGCTGGGCTCGATCAACTTGCTCGACGCCGTCGGTGCGAGCCCCGAGGACTTGGCGGATTTCGATGGCTGCTACGAGTCGCTCTGCGCAGGCTCCGTGGACCTCATGGACGGGTTCTACCAGTTCGCCGACCCCTCGTGGGGAAGCTGGATGCGCTTCGACGTGGAGGTCACCGCCGACGAGCTCGGGCTCGACTCGATCTACGACGAGAAGCTCGGGCGGCGCGTGGCTGTGTCAGGCGACGACGTCATCTGGCCCTGCTTCGCGGCGTTGCCCATGGGCTGGAGCTGGGCGCTCTGGATCTGCCACGAGGTTCTCGTCGACGCGATGGACGAGGCGGGCCTCCCAGGCGACGGCTGGTGCCTTGACAAAGCCCGTGCGCCGACTCTCGTCGGACAGGCTGTCGTCAGGGCGCCGTGCGTCGACAACGGGAATCTTGTCTCGCTCAGCGCACTGGCGCTCAACGACCGGCTGGACAAGCTCACTGCTGAACTGGATCGTCGTGGGCTTCGCTGGCACGAGCTCGAGCGCGCGCAGCCCGGCCTTGTCATTTTGGGGCTGGTGCTCGACGGGCGCGAGGGCCGACTCAGGCATACTGCCAAGCGTGCCTGGAGGCTCTACCTGGCTCTGCACCACGTGCTTCGGACGCCATGGCTCGCCCGCTGGCAGCTACGGCGGATCGTCGGTCACCTGGTCCACTACTTTTCCGTCGTGCGCCCCGGGCTCAGCGTGCTGGGGTCCTGCTACACGTTCATCGGAGACGGCGACCTGTCCCCTGTCGTGCGCTTGCCTGGAGATGTTCTCGGTGAGCTCGCAGTGGCTGCAGGCCTCGTCTTCCTCGGCGAGGTGGACCTGTGCCGCGCGCCGTCCGACGTCGCCTTCACGACCGACAGCTCGCTGCGAGGCTACGCCGTCTGCGAAGCCCGACTGGAGCCGTGGGAGGTACTGGCGGCCACCAGATGGCGCGAGCGCCAGCGGTTCGTTGCCATCGAGCCCGAGGTCGCGCCCGACGACGAGCATTACGAAGGGCGGGCCGCCGGCTTTTGCGACATCTCCGGGCCACTGCCCGTCGAGGTGCCGCCCCGGCTGCGGCACGCCGTGGCGAAGAGGCGCCGGGTCGAGCTGGAGATCGGAGTCCCGCCCGAGCCGCTGGCGGCCGCTCTGCTGGACGCTGGCCGCTGGGTGGAGCGCCGCCGTGGCGCGTGGCGCCGACCGGGACGTATCCACGCCCTCGAGGCGCGCGCCGCCGTCGCACCGCTATGGGGAGCGGCAGGCGACGTCAACTTCCACGGGAAGGAGATCCTCAGCCTGTGCGACAACATGTCGTCGGTCTTCGCCTTTGAGAAGGGCAGGGCCACCAATTTTGAGCTCCTGGCGCAGTGCCGCCGGGCTGCGGCTGTCTGCCTCGGGTGCGAGATCCGCTGGCGCCCGAGGCACGTGCCAGGCATACACAACGTCGCGGACCGCGGGAGCCGGGCGGCCGACCGTGGGGAGCTCCTCGCGGGACGCTACCGCGGACGGGGCGCCCTGTCGACGCCCACCAGCGGCTGCCGCCGTTCTCCCGTGGCCCCGCCTGCCGCGGGCAGGGCCGAGGCCCCGCCGACCGCGGTCATCGAGTTTCAGATCGGACGAGAGCAGGCCGAGTTGCTGGGGCCTGAAAACACGGAAAGAGACTGTTGCATTCCGTCACCTTTGTCATCTCAGCTCTTCTCTACCACGCATTCTTCTTCTCACCAGAGTAAAAGGCATCATGATGAAGTTTCGAAAGCACGCCCCAACGACCGACCCCGACAAGACCAACCTGAGCATGTTCGATGCCTCCCTGCTGCACTCGAGCCTCCTGGAGTTCCTCTACGGGGCCCACGTGGACATCTTGGAACACGCGAAGGTCCTCAACCGGACCCTCCTGAGCGCCCTCGGCCTCCTGAAGTTCTTCAACAGGGCCCACCT